CACACACACACACACACACACACACACACACACACACACACACACACGTGGACTGTTCATGTGAAGTGCTGCTCAGTATAAACCTGCATGGGGTAGTTGTACCACTTCATCTAATTGCAACCGCAAATAATCTCATTTTAATCTTTTCACCAGTTGAAACTTTTGTTTTTTCATTACATTATTAAATTGTTTTTGTGTTGCGTTTCCTTCTCACCGATTTTTCTTCCCCGGTAGAAAGAATGGTTGAATGAATCCCATTTATGATGCATAAACCACTGTTGCATGACGAGATGTAACAACTTGATCACAGTCTCTGCTTCTGTATAGGTCAGCGGGCTGTGGAGCTGTGTTCTGGTTTTACCTTTCACAGCTGACTTGGTTTTGGACACAATGCTGCTGGTTTCCTGTAAATGGCATTCACACACAAACAGAAGTCACTGACTTTATTTCCTGCTGCAATTCTCTTTGCATTTAAAGGGAATTCCCAGCTCTTAAAACGGAAGCTCTGTCTGCTTCTCTCATTTTCATCAAACTATGAAGTTCTTTCATCATATAATGGGAACAATAAAAGCAGCAAGAAGCTGAAAAACATTGTGGATGGTACTTTAGTTGCATCAATTCTTGCTTCTTTTCAGTAGGTAGCATGCCAAGTGATGTCTCAGGGGGTCCTGCTTTCTGTAATTGCAGTGTCTACTTGGGGTCAGTGTGATGTCGCTTCTTTCCTTACCTTCTCGCCTCTGTGTTATTCCCTGTTGTCACGGCGATGGTTATCAAGCCAGACCGAAACCAAAGAAGGGATATTTCCTCTAACTGGACTGCCGCCCTAATCCTCGGTGCCCAGATTAATGCTCCTTTCCTCCCTGTAGGATGACCGGCTGGCAGACTGGTAGGACTATGAAGCAGAGCTAAGATGGGATAAAGACAGTGAGTTTAGGAAACAGGGAAGCCTGGCGTCCCCCTAACATAACTCACAATGCCTTTCATCCATGACATTCTACCATTTGTCTTCCTATCATTGAGTCCATCTGTTGTTTGCTCAGGACAGATTTTAGCTCCCCAGGTTGCTGCCAGAGCCAGAAGGAAAGAAGAAGATACAGTCTCGCTCATTTTTTCTTTTACAAAATGTAAGCTATGTGGTCATTTTTAAAAGAAGGTGAGGCACAGTGATAATCTTTATACTCGGGTTAATCTGTCATGTGGCTGTTTGCCCCAAAGGTTAGAAAATATCAATGAAAGCAGCATTGAAACATGCAGAAATTCTTTGAATTGCCTGTTGTTACTGCAGAATTTCCTTTTTTCGTCCCTTTATCAAGTGTCCCTCTCAGTCTCTGGGTCGCGTTATTTACACATTGACTGACCCTCTTGAGCTCCTGCGGCTTATTGTGGAATACATCTGTTCTCCGGTCTTTCCTCATCTGTTGCCAACGTGGTCATTGTTCTTTCTCTCTCTTACTGCTCCACTTCCTGCCTTTGCCATCATCCCCTGCCTGTGATTTATAAGCTTGCAGCAAGGCCTTGATTCACCACCGTCCCACCCTACCCCACCCCCCACCCTGGACCCTTCTACAGAGGACTGAAATGCTGACAGATAGCAGGAGAGAAAGCCAGGGTGAGGGAAGTGATGGGGAAAAGGCATGATTTGCCAGCCAAAAAGGTTTGACCTGAAGAATTTGAATGTCAGCAAGCAGTTGGCACAGATTTGCTTACAAATGCCCCAAAGTGGAGCAAAACTAGTCTTATCTGCTTCAATAATAACAAAGCGGGGCCAGAGGGTTCTCGGATGAGGTCCAAATGAAGCTGGGCACCCCTAGAATAACTTAATAACAAGATAGCACATGTACCAAGCTTTTTAAAGGAGTTTTGAGGCCTTTAAGCTCTGGGTTTGGCTTAGCTTTCCCTCCTGCTGAACAGGATGGGGTGCGATCTGGGCCCGTCACCGTGCTCCCTCACAGATGGCAGTGTGGGAATCAAGCGACAGACCCCTAAATAATCCGGTGTCGTGCTGCAGATGGCTCGGTGTCAAGAGTAATGTCCAGAAGTGTTAAGTTATCATTTGTGTGAGCTGAGGAGGGCTGTGGCCAAACGGGGATTTTACACCCCTCTGTTTGTGTGTGCGTGTGAGGGATTTACTTCAGTCTGAAGCTTATCATGTCGACCCTGTGGGGGGATGTGAACTTTGAAGGTGCGTATTTGACCCACAGAAGTGTAACCTGATCTGATGGTGTGAGAGAACGTGTGCTGGTTTTACCTGCATTGTAAATGCGTTAAAACGTTTGAGGTTAACGGTTATATAAAAATGCCCAAGGATGAGAAAATGCGAGATGCAGTGAATTATTTGTACCTTCAGAACAGTGCTCGGATATGTGGTTGGAAAATGCTTTAAACTGTTAATTTTCAAAGCAATCATAAGTAAGAAGGGATGTTTTGTTTTACATGACAAGAGAGAAGGAAAATGTCAGGATCCAAATTTGCGGGCATTCGTGAGGCTGGTGAAAATCGATTTTAGGATGCTGAACAAACGTCTGCTTTTCGCTCTGCGGTAGCACTAAATCGCTCTGCCTGGCGTCCACCTAACGCTGGTGCAACTGGCAAGCTGTCTGTTTGTGCATTTACTTCATTTCTCTGTATGCAGTCTGGTGAAAGTAGAACAGCTCCAGAGAGTGCTGTCATCCTCCACTTCTGCCAACTGTGTAAATACAATGTCTGTAACAGCAGCACGCTGAAAGCCGCGATAGTTCATCATTGGACTGATATGGCAGGTACGTGCTTGCTGAATCGATCCATAGATTCACATTTTAAGCTTCAAATTGACTAGAAATTGACGTCCCCACCCACTACTCTCGTATCAGGACCGGGAGTTTGCGCCCCCGGCTGCTTGTGGAGAGCCACGTCAGGAGGGAAAAATATGCTATCCATCTCACAAAACAACATTTGTTTGCCTGCCAGAGCCTTCAAAACCATTAACAAGATTAGGGAGCGCACAATGGAAACAGACCCTCTACTCCCTCCCTCTGTCTCCTTCTCTCTTTTGCTCCCATATTCCCTCCCATTTTGTTCGAGCTCATTTGCCAGCACAATGCAGACATTCAGAGGTTTGTCTGCACCTCCTCTCTTAGGGGAGCCTCAGCACAAAACCTCCTTATGTAGGCAGACTGCAGTGGCACGCATAAGAAGCAGCAAAAATCATCACACAGGGTCATAAATTAACAGAAAAATTACTACATTCATGCCAAAGGTGGACTCTTGGCCACACATGTTTGCCTTTGGCCAGCCTGCTCTTTTTCCCAGTATGTGCTGCGCTTACAGGAGAAATGAGGCAGGAGGGTTATATAAGCACCGCGCTGATGAAAAGAAACAAGCTACAAGGCAACGGAGAAATATACAATACATAAAAAGTGTACAGGACAAAGCAGTTTAGTGGGTGTGTGTGTATGCAGGAGCATGATGGACAAAAGAGTCTTGTTTTCTATTTTTTGAGGTAATTTATTCTTGTAAAAATGTAGATTTCTTTTATGTCCATGCTTTGTTTGAATAATTTCTTTTAAGATCTCCTTGCTGATTTGAACGAAATGCATCAAATGTCCACACGGACACCATTCAGACAGAGCTATTGTTGAGGGTTCAATGAAAGAAATCAAAGCTGTTTAAATTTTTTTATGGTATTGAGGACAATGTTTTCCACACATCAATCTATGAAGATTTTATGTTTGCTTTTTAGTAATATTTCTTTCATCTTAAACCATCTCACCTAATTTTTTCAACTTACAAGCTAATCTCCTCTCCCGGCACCACTCTATCTCAGTAATAAAACTTAATTGCATCCGTATTGCAGTTCTCAGCGAAAGCTCTCGCATAGTTTTAACACGAGTGATATTTGATTAAATTTCTGCCCTCTCTGTTCCGCTCTCTCAGGTTCCTACAGATGTTTCTATGGGTCTTCTAGCTGAGCCCCAGGTGGCCATGTTTTGTGGAAAACTCAACATGCACATCAACGTCCAAAGCGGCAAGTGGGAACCTGACCCTTCTGGCACAAAGACCTGCATCAGCACCAAAGAGGGCATCCTGCAGTACTGCCAGGAGGTAATGTGTGAAGAGTGCAGGAAGATGGCGCGGTAGCCCTCCATCTCCTGTTTGTTATTTGGTATTAGAATAAACTGAGAGCCTAGACTGTAGTTGGGGAAATGCCATTGTAGGGGTTGTGTGATAGGAGGAGTTGTATAAAAAAACATGTACGACAGGCTCAGGTGAGGATAAACTAAAGCTCTTTTTTTTCCCATGACAAACAAATGACTGACTGGTGTTAGCACGTTAGAAGATGAGTTGTCATGAGTAACAGAGTGGGACGAGGCTTGTAGAGTCAGAAGGATGAGATGCACACCATAAATGGTATACGCAGAACAGTGATCACAAAAAAGGACAATATTTTTTCAAAGATAGCGGGTGTAGTTCTCCTTAAAGAACCAGAGCATTGCCTTCAAGATTAGAAAAAAACATCTGTCTGCATGCGTACAAAGAAGAGATAATGCATAATGCTGCGTGTTTAGGTGTATCCGGAGCTCCAGATTACCAATGTGGTGGAAGCCAACCAGCCAGTCAGCATCCAGAACTGGTGCAAGAAAGGGCGCAAACAGTGCCGCAGTCACATGCACATAGTCGTGCCCTACCGCTGCCTGGGTGAGTCCACTTTGTGAGCGCTTGCTGTTTTTTTAAAGCTTGCTTCCTCTCTGAAACTGGGTTGCGCACTGGGCCCGTGGATGTGTTTTATGTGCCGCCAGCGTCGGAGCGCGTCCCCCGTCGGTCTGCAGGCGTGGGCTGAACTCGTGCATGAATAAATATAAATCTTGCATTTGCTGCAGTGGGAGAATTTGTGAGCGACGCCCTGCTGGTTCCTGACAAGTGCAAGTTCCTGCACCAGGAGCGTATGGACCAGTGCGAGAGCCACCTGCACTGGCACACCGTTGCCAAGGAGGTGAGCCCAGAAATGCGGCTCCATTATTTCCACGAGTAACATGAACACGAGCTAATCTGATTGGCCTGATTTTCACGCCTGTAGTCCTGCGGAGACCGCACCATGAATCTCCACGACTACGGGATGCTGTTGCCGTGCGGCATCGACCGCTTCAGAGGGGTGGAGTTTGTGTGCTGCCCCGCCGAGGCGGAGCACGACGCCGACAGCGCCGAGCAGGACGTCGACGATTCCGACGTGTGGTGGGGGGGGGCGGAGACCGACTATTCCGACAACAGGTGCTCACACACACGCGTCGATGAGCGCAGGCCTCAGCAGTGGCCATGCGTCTCCACTCACACGAGTGCTGCTTTACCGTCAGGAGACAGCGATTTGTCTTCTCGAACGGAAACTGCAGATTGGTTGTAATTTGAAGTCTTCCCCTTCATCGCCCTTGTCCTTGTCTTTTCCTCATCTCTCTTCTTCATCTCTCTTCCTTCAATTACCGTACTCCCGTTGCCTCCATATGTCCCTTTACTTCCCCCTTCATCTCCATCATTTTCTACTCTCTTCCCGCCTCTCGTGGCTCCCTTTTGCTTTCTCCCAGCATGGTTCGCGAGCCGGAGCCAGCAGAGCAGCAAGAGGAAACCAAACCATCTGTAGTAGAGGAGGACGAGGATGAGGAGATACCTGAAGAAGACGAGGAGGAGGAAGACGAGGAGGAGGAAGAGGACATGCTGGACAACGACCAAGACGGAGATGGGGAGGAAGATGAAGATGTGGTGGAAGAAGAGGAAGATGAAGAGGATAGAGACGACGACATCATTGACACGCTTGATGAAAATGATGATGCAGATGAGCCCACCACCAATGTTGCCATGACTACAACCACCACCACCACCACTGAGTCTGTGGAAGAAGTTGTCAAGGGTGAGGGGTGATTTGATGTTTGTTGACTGTGTTTGTTGTCATTCCGTCTGTGATTGAGCATTTAAAACTCACTCATCAATTATTCCTGTTTAGATTAACGTGAAACGATCTTTTTCCAGTTTTCCACAGTTTGTACACTTTGCCAAACACGGACCAGTCCCCCGTTCCTCTCTGTAATTTCCTGCTGTCATTTTTCTGATTGTGTTCATTAGTCATTTCAGAGCTTTCATTAGCCACGTTCCATTACAATCTGAATTAGCCATAGCATTACTGTTTCTTCATTTAGGTGTTAAATTAGTTTTAAATTCAATTCCAAGCAGCATTAATAATACTTTAACATGGCTCCCCCCTTCTCATGCCCTTGAATCTAAGTGGGATGTTTTGTATTTGGAAAAACTCGTGGAATCTTCCTCCTTGATGTAAAGATGACACACTGTCATACTTTGTGAATGATGATAAGTGCGTGCGGATGTGTGTGTGTGTCTTCCAAGATGTGTGCTGGGCGAATGCAGAGACTGGCCCGTGCCGGGCTATGCTGCCCCGCTGGTACTTTGACCGTCAGGAGGGCCGCTGCGTTCAGTTTATCTACGGCGGCTGCGGAGGCAACAGGAATAACTTTGAGTCGGAGGACTACTGCCTGTCTGTCTGCAGCAGCGTCAGTAAGTCCTGCCGACAGCTGCCCACCTGCACGAGCAGCTCACCGGTTCAACCGCCGACCTGTTTCTAACCATCGCCTCCACCTGCTGTCTGTCCGCCGGCCGGTTGAGCGGTTTCTCGCTTGGTGTGTTTCTCCTCCAAATGCTGTCCACTGTCACCTTACACCTGGCTAACATATACTCACTCCTCACAGTCTTTCTAATCGCTGAGGACAAAGGAATTTGTGCCTCTCCATACTTTAACTCTAACTTACTCTTTCTTTGGTTTTCAAACCCAAGACAGTCAGTTGAATCCACGCACTTTTTCCAGCATTTTTAAAGTGGCAGGCGTTGTCGCAGTGGCTTTGTTTGAACGGTGAATAACTGTTCACCGCATCGGTGCTATCAGACTGCATACTGGACGGATAGATTTTGTTTCCTTAAACCTCGGCGCTCAATCGGAGCGTGTGAAGTTAACTGACTGGACTCGAAATGCTCAATATCTTGTAGTGCCTCAGAGACCAAATGACATTCTTAACGTTGCTGCGGCTCCACGCTGACTGTCCAGCGGAGCCTGTGGGATAAGCAACATAATTCCTGTGATTATAGCTATTTTGGGGCCATCATGGTATCTGTATTAGCTTAGCATGTGTGTGGGCTGTGAAATCACCCAGGCAGCAGTGATATGTGCAATAATCCACGGTTCGCTGCACATTATCCCCTCATGTCTTTGACGTGTTGCCCATATTCTTCCAGTCTCACCACTGAGAAAATATATACTAGTTAATTCATTCAATCCACTTAAATCGAACATCAAATTGCTCAAGTGCAATTTTGAGAAAATGAAATATTTGTCAGTGTTATGGAAAAAAACTAATCAAAACAACATTACACGCTCTCAGAGCCTACCTGCCCTTCAGATCAGCGAGATGAAATGAGATGAATTTTCTTTCTCCCTTACTCGGTTGAACCAGCTGAGGTTCTAAATAACAGTAGCATTTTTTGGAGGGGGTATTTCTTGCCTGACTGTGTTGATTTAGAAGCGATCATCCAGTCACAAAGCATACTGATTGAATTTAAAATAGTCACTCGGACCTGGATTGCTGTATTATTTTCCCCTGCAGGTTTCCTCATTTGTCGGTTTGTGTGCAAAGAGGCTGGTGTTTCGTTGTCAGCAGAGATCGAAGGTGCTGTAAGTGTTTGCCCGTGATGCCGGCGGCAGTGTTTCAGTGGCTGAGGTTCAGTGACCTTGCTCGATTTGTGAGGGTGCGAATGTGTGTGTGTGTGCGCGCATCTCAGCCACAAAGTGCACCGATTACCCTGCAGCAAAGTGGCGGGAAGCCTTCTCCTCTCTACAGTTTGACCTTACTTTATTCACTGTCACTGTGTGTGGATGTTTAGGTGCGAGTCTATGTGCAAGTGTGTCTTGGTGGGGGATTTCTGCTCTGCTGGGCATATGAGAAAAGACTTGCGGTCAGTAAACGGTTTCACTGCGGCAGACATTTTGCCTGAGCTCTTTTTGATTTATAAAGCGTACTATAATTACAGCAATGATCTGGGAAAAACACCAGGTCTTTCTTTCTTTCTTTGTTTTTTTTTTTTGTTGCATTTTTGTGGATTCTGTTTTTTCCAGTTGATGGAGGGTTTTGCTTTTATAAAAACTTGTTCTCAGGAAAGCTCTCAAACAGCAATTTTGCGTAAAATGGCCCAATTGACTTTTCCCTGTTGTAAAAACACTGTATTTTGAACCACCATCCTCAGAAACTGGGCTGCTGTTTGTGTTTCTTTTGTCCATAAAGTTTGATATAATTGAGTCCTGAACAGTCCTGATTTGATAAAAAAAAACCTTTAAAAAATCATCAGTAATATTTACAGAGTGGGTACTAGTAGCTCATAGTGATCCTCACTGTGAATCTCATCCCTCAATTGTTTTATTTGTTTTGTGCCGTGACGTGAGCAGAAAGAGACAGTCAACCCTCTGTTGATTAAATACAAGTTTCACACGATGTATGGCCCTATTCCTCGCTTGCCGGTGAATTTTTTGCGTCTTAGACTGCGGAATAAATTCCAGTGCCTTCACTATGCATGAAGTTAGGGTATATAGATGAGAAGGTTTCTATCTTCAAGACACAGCGTGGGTCATCAGAGGCAGTCGTGGGCACTCTGTTTGGAGGGTTCTGTCTTTCAGCTGCAGTTTCTGTCCCGTTTCCTTTCGCTTTTGAGTCCACGCTAACTTTATTAACCCAATTTGGACTTCTGTGTTTGAAAGTGTTTCCATATCTACGGAACAGAACGCTTCAGTAAAAGTCTCCCCGCCTCCTCTGCGTTCCTCTCTCTGTTTACTTTTTGCTGCAGTACCCACAGCCATGCCCAGCTCCCCCGACGCAGTGGACCATTATCTGGAGACACCTGCCGACGAAAACGAACACGCCCACTTCCAGAAAGCCAAGGAGAGTCTGGAGGCCAAGCACCGCGAGAGAATGTCCCAGGTACCGACGGAGAAGGATGGTGGGGACAGTGTGTTGATGCTGTAATGAATGAATATATTTGAATCACAATAAATACGTATACATTTGTGAGGGTTAGTGGAAGCGCACATAACCAAAAGCGGTATTTTGTTGCTGGATAATGGAGGACGAAGATATTCTAAGAATAGAGAGTGGAGGGAGAGGAGGGGTGATGTGGAGCTGGAACTGGTGCATTGGTCAAATCCTCCCAGGTGAGCCGACTCAGGCATTTCAAGTTTAATTGTGTTTTTTAATCAACCGTCTCATTCAGATGGAGATCCAGATGGTCTGCCTCATTTATTTATTTTTTAAAGCCCCAGACAAAGAGGGCCAACAACCTTGTATAATGCAGAGAATGACTTTTTATTGAGTTTGCACGCCACTCCGATTGGATCTGTTTGTTGCGATTAGGTCGCTGCAGGCACAGCATCACTGGATTTCACACGGTCGACATCTCCCTTAAAGGTAGTCTCAGTACATAGAATTAAAAAAACAACCAGTTAGTCAAAGGGGGGAAGGATGTGCAATCATCCTTGTGGAAAGGATGTAACTAATCAAAGGGGAGCAGATTGTCACCCTGGTTTTTTATAGCAGAAACGCCCTCGTCTTAACACTTTACACAGAAAAATGGTAAAAGATTTTCCTCGACTTGTTTAGAAATGTGCAGAAAAATGAGAGTGGATTGTCAATTCCTCTGAGTGGTTTCTATCTGTGCTTGTCCTCAGGTTATGAGGGAGTGGGAAGAGGCTGAGAGGGAAGCCAAGAATCTTCCGCGCACCGACAAAAAGGCTGTCATTCAAGTAGGAAAAGCCTGGAAATATTCAGTGCAACGCCACCAGGCCGTGCACTGGTATTTATTTTCTCCACAGTTTGCCAAATTGTCATTTAATATGTGCATGTAGCGTTTCCAGGAGAAGGTGGAGGCTCTGGAGCAGGAAGCAGCCAGCGAGCGTCAGCAGCTGGTGGAGACCCACATGGCCCGAGTGGAGGCTCTGCTCAATGACCGCCGCCGCCTGGCGTTGGAGAGCTACCTGACCGCGTTGCAACAGAACCCGCCGAGGGTGAGTGGGCCTGGAATGTACAACAATGAAACCTTTAAACCTTTAAACCTGTCTCGCCGTGTTGTTCACTCTGCGTCTTTTGCAGCCCCGTCACGTCTTCACCCTGTTGAAGAAGTACGTGCGTGCCGAGCAGAAAGACAGGCAGCACACCCTCAAACACTTTGAGCACGTCCGCATGGTCGATCCCAAGAAGGCAGCCCAGATTAGACCTCAGGTACCATCAGACACAAAGCTCACTGGGAGTCTGACAAGAACCCAGTTATTTTCCCTCTCTAAACGGAGTTTGTGCTGTAAAACGGGTCTAAGCTGTTTTTCCTTTAGAAAAACAATTAAATTCAATTAAAGATTTCCTTTGTGAAATAAACTAAAGTAGAGTCTTGTTTTCGTATTTGTGTTGTAGGTGCTGACCCACCTGCGCGTGATCGAGGAGCGCATGAACCAGTCTCTGGGACTTCTCTACAAAGTGCCCGGTGTGGCCGACGACATCCAGGACCAAGTCGGTGAGGCTTTGTTTTGTGTTTTCATTAAAACTAGACAGAGCTGGCAAAGCAAAAATGAACTGAAACGAGGTAAAATGTCTCATGCTGACTGGAGCTGCTCATTCACGCGTTGGAAAAACTCACAGCCCCGATTGTGTTACATGTAACAGGGAGATTGAATGCTCTAAATTCCAGTCCACAGAAAATGTTTTTTTTTCTGATAAGGACATTGGAGCCATTTGGCCTAATTCTTTTGTTCAGAGTCAAATGAATCTGTTAGCGGGAAGATAAATCCCCATTTCCCTCCCACCCTCTCGCCCTTGTATAAGCAAGGTTTCTGAGGGTTTTTGGGTTTATCTACATTGTGTGCGTCATGCTGCCATCTGTGTCTCAGAGGCTGTCACAGTCTGTGCTGCCCAATAAAGTATGCGCGCGCGCGCACACACACACACATAGACAAGGACACACACAAAAAATGCACTATTCAGTCCATGTTCAGGGAGACTTTTTTCTTTTTTTTTCTTTTTTAATTAATTAAATAGTTTTTGCAAAAGAAGGGCTTTTCTTGGAGGCGTTTAATCTTTTTTGAGGGAGAAACATCAGTGTCAGCGGGCTCAGAATGTTTTAACACACAGCTCTTCTATGCTCTCTTTCCAGAGCTCCTGCAGAGGGAGCAGGCAGAGATGGCTCAGCAGCTGGCCAACCTGCAAACCGACGTGAGGGTGAGCTACGGAAACGACGCCCTGATGCCCGACCAGGAGCTGGGAGACGGCCAGAGTGACCTATTGCCCCAGGTGGACATTGATGGCTTTGGCGGAGCTGACTTTATCCACCCCGAGAGCTTCAACCAGCCCAACACCGAGAACCAGGGTACAAACTAAGAACCAAACAGTTGCACCAAATATAACGCGTCGCGTTGAAAAGTATCTGAAGAAAAACTGCCTTCCTTTTTGTCCAGTTGAGCCCGTGGACTCCCGCCCCGGCCTTGACAGAGGAATTCCCACACGGCCAGGTTAGTGTGACTGCGTGCCTTAAAAATCCCATTTTTATGGGTTAACGATTGCACAAGTTATATCCCACCGTTGCTCACTCGTGCTCACACCAGATGTGGTGTCCACACTCTGTTGTCTTAAGCTATCGCATCAACACATTAGCTGCATCGGATTCACTGGTTACAGTAGGTTGTAAACATCTGAATGAATAATAGATGAACACACTGAAAAACGGTTCCTCCTTCTGGTCCTTGTTACTGACCACGGTGACTAGGGACGAGCTTACATAATTTATCTGTGATAGATGGACTTTACAATTGGACAGCATTTTAAATGGTTGCTTATCAAAAGGTGGTAAAAAAATGTCTGTTATCTGCTTGGAAGATTTTGAGTCACAACCGTACAGTGTAAATGTAAATAAACCACCAGATAATTAGTAGATATGACCTCTTTGTTAAAGCAGTCAGCAAAAGGTATTTAAAGTAGTTGCTCAAAGTCTGTGTACACCACCTTTTTCCGCGGAGCCATTATTTGCCCACAGCCGGCTCCGCTTGACCTCCATTAAATTGCAGGCGTACCCGTTAAGAGACTTGGGATGCAGCTTTGGGATGTACGTGTACACCGTGCGCTGTGCTCCTCTATGTACGTTCTATACTGAATTTGTGCCGCTGCCACATTGGGCATTTCACGGTCTGATGAACAGCGGTGTTTGTCAGGAAGAGGAAGCGGCTTCTCAAACTCTGTAATAGATTTGACCATTTTTTTCCCCTTCACCAGTGAGCGGAATGAAGATGGAAGCCATTCCTGAGCTGCGCATGGAGAAAGAGGACCGACAGAGTTCAGAATATGAAGTTCACCACCAGAAACTGGTAAACACACACACACACACTCTGGAGCTCTGCAGAAGTGGAGACTGAAATTCAGTTATCTGAGTACATATGATGACAAACACATAAAGATGCATTTTACTGACACGTGCAGGCTCATTCTCTGGCCCCTCTCCTTGACACGCACAAACGCACGCGTTCACTTTGTCCTCCCGATAAACTCCCAAGGTTGTCACCATGGAGACAGGTGCCCATAGAGACAACCGCGGTAACTCATGCGTCACTTGCGCTCGTCTCGAAAATCCACTTTCCTCTGATGGGAAGTTAGTTTCCTGACGCGAGCGCCTGGCTCTTTCTGCTCAACCTGCAAAACGATGCGATGTTTGTGTAATCTCTTCAAGCATTGTAATTCCAGCACAGAAAATTCAATCCATCCTCAATCAAATCATAACCCACATACCTTATTCCTCTCACCTAAAAGCTTTAATCCCTTAATCCCTGCATTCTGTGACATATCACATTTCTTGCATTCTCCGTGAGCAGTCTGTGTGTCGGGCCGCCTCTGTAATTTCTCCGTTAACCCGTCAGAATTCTGCTGCATTAGGTGGAAGCAGGTTCAACAGAGCAGAGAAAAGCCTGCACGCACTGCAGCGTTTCAAACCAGCTGTTATTAGACGTCACCATGACTTTTTTTTACTTTTCTTCCAGTTGATTTCAGCCCAGTTGAGATGTCGGGAGACATTTTTCTTCCTTTGGTGAAGTGTACTTTTGTTTTTTACGGTTGAAATAGTAGAGACAGAAACGGAAGCCTTTTGTTACTTTTCTTTTCTATTTGGTTTTATGCTGTGTGGGGGCAGAGCCACTCTGCGTCAGGGCTTCTTTATGTAGTGCTCAGCTTTGAGTAAATCATCTGACGGTCACAGGAAGACATTGTGTTTGGCAAGAAACGATTTCCTCAGAAAAAGTCACCCCGTGATTCCACCCGCTCTCGTCTGTCAGGTGTTTGTTCTCCAGTTTCACAGCCGGCCATTTCAAAGCAGAGAACCGTTAGCGTTGTAGTGAACTGATTCTGAGAAACGGAGCTAAACGAGCTCATCGTCCGATCACCTGCACGAGAAACGCGGGCCTCGAAAGCCGCCGGAAAAGGGACCGTCTTGCCAGGGAGCGAAGGCCACGGGGCACGAGTCACGTTTTTCCACCTGAGCACCATCTGTCCCTCAACTCCCACAGGTCTTCTTCGCTGAGGATGTGGGCTCCAACAAGGGCGCCATCATCGGCCTGATGGTCGGAGGCGTCGTCATAGCGACGGTTATCGTCATTACCCTCGTGATGCTGAGGAAGAAGCAGTACACGTCCATCCACCACGGAGTCATCGAGGTGAGAACCCACTGACCTGCGTTTTTGCGCTCTGTTCGGAACAAGCTGGTGTGTGAGGACGATCCAAGTGAGCTCACCTACTTGTGTGTGTGCGTGTAGTCGCTATTTATGTTGCCAACCAGACAAATCCTTAAAAAATGTGGAGCTGTAAACTCAGCAAAATGTGTTGATCACTAAATGTCATTGGATGAATTACTCATTGCCTCTTTCAGCTTTCTAATTATTTGCATTTATCACTCTAGAACATTAATTCACAGCCCTCTCTTACTCAGAAATCCCCTTAAACGGTCTCCAATTTGGAGCTGTTTTTGTGTCTGTGAAGCCTCTCTGTGTGTGACATCAGCTCTCTGTCTCTGGCTCCCCTCCAGGTGGATGCTGCCGTCACCCCTGAGGAGCGCCACCTGTCCAAGATGCAGCAGAATGGTTATGAGAACCCGACTTACAAGTTCTTTGAGCAGATGCAGAATTGAGGAGAATGTCACATCTACACACACTCATACACACACACACATGTTCATCTCCTCCCTCATATTGCACTCCTTCCTCCCCCACCCCTCCTCCCTTTACCAGACCCATGTTTCCAAAAGGCGGTGTGGCTTAGATCATAAGTGACTGAAATGGTCAGTTACGAGCATACGGAGCGGAGCGACTGTAGTCGGTGTTTCTTTAAATTTTTTGCCTGGGCGGACGCTAAGGCTAAGCCTGTTTGCACCACGTTTGTTCACTTTATTGAAACAGGATGCTATTTTATTCAAAATATTATTATAATTTTTTTTAAAAGAGGTTGCTCCGTTTGGGCCTGCTGATGTATGGAAAAAGGCCCCGCCCAGGGCATCCAAACAAAGCTGTCTTCTTTGCCTCCACACTGATTCAGGGCCAGTGTAAAGTTGTGGGTTTTGGTCTTTTCTTTTTGGCTTTAGTTTAACGTTCTATAAGCAAAGCTGACGACCGATCAGTTAGGTTGTGAACGCAGGCCGGTCTGGGCCTCCTTTACAAAAAAATTGTCGTCTCAGAGCACGTCGACATAATCGTGTTAATCTTGAATGATTGAATAAAGAAGGCATAAGTCAAGCAACATGATTTGTCACAAATAAGCCCCCCCCCCCGCCTGCCGCAGCACTTCTGCACTCTCTACTGCACTCTCTACAGTCTACACTGGAGTATAAGTGAGTTCTTCTCCCTCCCCCCCTCCTCCTCCATCCCTCCCTCCACCCTCTTTTCTTTGCGCATTCTTACAACAGCTGGGCTGTGTTACGTCACACGAGGCTCTAAAGGATCAGGAGACGCTGACGATAATGCACACGTTGATGACAACGGTAGTAATCGTGTATTCCGAACGAGCTGTTTTTATTTTGGAGTTTTTCTCTATTGTTTCCAGTTTTGTTTTTCAAAAAAGAGTGAAAATGGAGAAAAAAAGTCAACTGATGTAAAGTCCTTTTTTTAAATTCCGTGTAATGTTCCTGGAGTAATGCTGAAGTCTTAGCTGTTCTTATGTAGTGCATGACAAAGATGACAACTGAATTTGGAAAATCAAAAAAAAAAAACAACCCAAAATCTTAACGCTGCTCTCTCGAGATCCTTTCTCACATTTAGATTGTCATTCTAGCAAGATTGTACATTTAGTATCTTCTCGTGATCACGTGACTTCAAACATTGATGAAAAAATATATATAAATCTAGATGAACTGGCTCTGCTTTGACATCTTGTAAAGATACACATTTAAAAGAGATCTGTGATTTTTGGAATTTAAGTGTGTTCCTAGTTTCTGTTTGAATTGTTCTTTTTGTAACCCTGCCAGTTTCCTGAAGCTGTAAAGGGGGCAGGCTTCATCTTTGTACATCCTCACTTTATTAGATGCATTGTGTTAAAATTCCTCATGTGTAGAGGCATTCAGAAATCACACCTGTCAACTTTTACTTCTTTGGTCGGTGTTTGGAAAAAGGCATGTTTCGGGGTTGGAAGTTCAGAGAAATGAGAAATCTTGTATGAGGAGCAGGTTGCTATTACTTTTGCTTGTGGGCCCTTTGTTTTTTTTGTTTTTAAAACAGGCCGGTGTTTTTTCTGTCATAAGCCAACGCTGACTTTTTCTGGTTTTGTATCCAATTTGCTCTGCAGACTGAACAGGTGGAGTGCCAAGAGCAGGAGGAAAAGGGGGGAGGGAGGGCGAGATAGATGACTTGCAGTTCCGATGGATAGCCAGCCAGACAGGCTGTCTGTATATGTATATGTAATGGATTTTCACTTCCCCCTGCGCCTCCCCTCCCTTCCTCACCTTCCTTTTCCTTCAGGGTTGCTGCTCACCTCTCTGCCTCCACCACAGCCTTTGTCTCCTCAAAGGCAGGGTGCACAGGTCCACGTATATATATGTATATACATATATATAGGTGCTTACCATCGAGAGTTGACAGCAAGTTGGCGGGGGGGAGCAGAGATCAAATAAGCCAATTCAAAATGGCAGCGTTGTTGGCAGGAATAACACATTCATCCTCATAGTCAGGTCATTCTAAAGGTTTTCAGTGTATCCAAATTGCATTGAAAGTCATCTGCAAGCAATGCTCATATATAAAATGGGGATTAAATCTGTGATGAAATAGTGACTGAAATGTGCTTAAGGGGGCTGAGTTTGGGGTTTGGTTTGCAGAGGGTGTGCATTAGAAGCCCAACAGAGGGCAGTAGATTAGAAGGGGAAACCAGATTTTCTTTGATCATTTTTTTTTTTTTTGTCTGTGGGTTAAATATTAATTTTGTTTTCCACTGTGTAATATTGTGCAGGTCATTTGCATTGACTGGAAAACGCTTTCTACACTGTATTCCATAATAAAGTTTTGAATGTACATATGAAAGCTGTGTCGCTGGTTTCCTTGTATTTGTTTGAAATATTTTTAAGATTAAGAATCAAATCCAAATTTAGGACCAAAATAAAAAAAATGACGTTGTAGACTTATTTTCTTTTACAACAATGGTTTTGAAATGCCATCTTTATTTATTTACTTATTTCAAAACTACATCGCGCTGTTTGGCTAAGGCTTCCTTATCTTCGCCACATTCCCACGATGCACTGCGGTCCTCCACATTTGGATCTCTTGCTCAGAGTGTCAAGCCCAAGGTGAGTTCGACTTTTTCAACTAAACACGGTAAAACATATTATGGTCTTATTGTTTACTCTGTTTTTAATGCTGAGCGATACGTTCTTGCATTCCCGTCTTCGGTGAGTGCGGAGATTCAGTCAATTGTCGAGAAACAAACTATAACTATTGAAACGTTTGAAGAGTGTGACGTTAGCTATTGCTAGGTTAGCATGGTAGCATTAGCAGGTATTTGAGAGATAAATTATACTACCTTTGAACTGAAGCTTGCTAACTATTCTTGTGCCTTCTATGCATCCTTTAGACAATAGTAGCAGCTAAGAGTTCTTCTAAGGTCGTTAAAATTGATAGCTTGGTTAGCGTTTGCTTCAGCCAATTGATGCTAACGCTGCAAGCCGAATAAAAGCTTGTCCTTGACGGACGTCAATTAATGAAGTCATCGCATGTCTGAGGTTATATTCAAACATGTTTATTAGTATCATTTTTAGCCTCTCCAAGCTTTGTTTAATCGAAATATTCCAAGGCCCGTTTCTTGTCAGAAATGTTTCTCCGCAATGTATAATCCAGTTTTACAAAGAATAGAATGCTTAAACAGAAAAACGGAGTGCTTTTACAAGGAACAATTTAAGTGGAAATTTAGATGATAAAAATGAATTTACGAGAATGTTTGTCTATATAATGGTCTAAAACTCTTTAAAAACAAATGTTTGTACGTTGTTGGAAAAATTTCACACGCTGCTAGTCAATAGCAGCATTTAGTTATGAGCATTAAGCCAAAATGCGTTTTATTTCTTGTTTCTAAAGTCCAGTGTTTGGTTACAGGGGCCCACAGGTTATCATGTTTCTCAGCACACCTGATTCAGATGACTGCATCAGCTCTGCAGAACGTTAATCGAGATTTGAATCAGGTGTGCTGGAGCTGGGAAACGTGACTTGTGGGACCAGGGTTAACAGACTCACTAGTAGTTTATTACTTCCTGTCACTATTTGAATGATGATGCTATTAAATGACAACTCCTGTATTTTTTTTTTCATGTTTTAACACAAACAGTATTTAGTTGAAATGAGCTTTTATCTTTTCTTGAGTCTGTCTTTGTTGATGCAGTTTTTTTCCCCCTTCAGATGGCGCTTCATCGGTTGTTCCAGCTGTCCTCCCTGCTGCGCTCTGCCGTGAGCCTGACTCTGCGCAGGAACATCGGCCTCTCCGCCGTGGTGTTCAACAAGGCCAAGGAGCTGGACCCGGTCCAGAAGCTGTTCCTGGATAAGATCCGCGACTACAACAGCAAGAGCAAGTCAGTCCACACACGCAGCCCCTGACATTTTATCGCACGAAAAGCGGCACGTTCGGTCCAAATGGGTTTTTTCCGATGAGTTAGCTGCTGAGAGTTTGGTCAAAGTGAACTATTAAGTAGAATTTCCCTGAAAAGGGATCGGACGCTCTGAATTTGCCCGACCCCGGCCAATAAAGGCCGTTTGTTCATTGGTGTCTCGTCATGCAGTTTGATCCCGTCCGCTTTAATAAGGCGTACTCATTTGGCATCCCGTTCACTCGTGGCTGTTGCGCCCATGAGTTTGACCGTTATTTGATGCGTTGGCTCTCTCAGGGCCGCTGGTGGCATTGTGGAAGCAGGTCCCGCCTACCAGAAGAACATGTCTGAGGAAGTGACCAAACTCCAGAGGCTGTTCGGCGGGGGAGACTTCACCAAGTTCCCGGAATTTAAATTCACAGGTCAGTTTTGCTTTTCCTTGTGTCTTTCTTTATTTGAAATTTAAAAGACACAAACGTGTTCTTTAAAGATGGTGATCTAAAACTGTGGTCCCAGAGTTCCGCTATCCTGAAGCTTTAGATTGAGTAGATCTTTTTGAAAGACCTTTCTCAAAAGTCTGCCAAATTAGATTTATGGGAATCCGGTACGTTGAGGCAGGGGAAAGCGATTATTATTTAGTCAAGCGTAACAGTCAAGAAATGAGCTGTTTTTGCTCAACATATTGTTCACGGGCACATTATTTGTAACAAGTTTTTAGTCACTAGAACATTTATTCCTTTCATCATCGTAAGTCTGGGTCTCATTTTTGCGATAAGCTGAAGTGACTATTTGGCACGTTTGCAATGACGTAGTTGAACACGGCCTCCTCCTGAATGCTTCTTTCTTTGGCACTGAGGAGCTGTGCTGTTATTTGCCTCATTGTCAGAGGCTATAAATAGGAAGGATGACGATCATTGCGTTTGAAGTCTGGAGCTTTTGTGTTTGCTCATTTCTGTGTTTCTCTAGCGCTTTCCACAGCTCCATCTAAAATCAGTACACTTTATTCACCGCCAACTGTCAGTGACGGTTTTGTTTTCTTTGTTTTTTCTCCGCAGAGCCGAAGCTGGAGGAAACAGCCAAGTGAATGATGTCCACGTTGTATATGTCCCTCATGTCACAAATGTGTTATATTTAATAAAAAGAAAGTGGATCCAACTAAACACTGTGCATAAGATTGCTTTGATGGTCTGCGCGTTGGGATTTACGTATCCAATTATATTAATTTTTTCTTAAACTGATACCCGATGCACTGTGTACAAAAAAAGGAGAAAATTCCAGGGCTCGAAAGCTTCACTTTCCACAAGCACGAGGAGGGGTCTGAGGGAAGTGACCCGAGTGGCGACGCGGAGGAGGTCAGCTCAGGGGTGTGGGGAAGTTGTGACCTTCGAGGTGTAATGGAGGAGTTGAATGTTTGCTGTTTGGATGTTCTGGGGGGTGTTTACTGAATTTGGTATGAACTTTGTCATCTAGTACTTCAGCTCACCTTTGGAACGGATCGAGCAGATCCAAACCACGATGTGGGTAAGGTTTGGCTGTAAACAACTAACTGAGCTACTGGATTGGACCGCAACTCAGTAAATTAAACTTGGGCAGCATTTTGAATCTAAAGTATTACACATGCAACTTCTCGTGTTTAAGAATATTCTCCGATTAAGGTTGCGTGTGCGATGAACAACTTAAATGTGAGTATTTCAACTCTTGCTATTTGGGACATTGAGGTCTAATGCTTGCCGATTGTCTTTGTGTATTGTTTAAATTGAAATCAGAATTTGGGGCTGAAGTGAATGTCAAAGCACAGAATGTATTTTTATTCTCTGTAGTCCAGTATTGGAGCTCTGGATGTATTTTTAGATGTGAAAGAGTGAATTGGGAAGCTGAAGCGGCTTTTCGAAGCCTCGAATTAGACTCAAAATGTATAAAAAGCCTAGATTGTGTTGCTGCGTCTTTGTGAAATTCCCTGAATTAGCTAGCTGAATCCTGGCTGACCTAGATAGAAACTGGCTGCCACTCTGAATTAGTCTTGAGAGTGACATTGTGACAAGGTCAGAGATGCATTTGGGCCTCTCCAGGATGAGTATTTGAAACTCAGAATAGCACAGCAAAGAGTCATTTTTCCATGTGAACAGATGCTGGAAATGTTCAGATTGTGCAGCCATGCCGTTAAAACCTGATGTCAGGACGTGGTCCAGATTGGATCCGCCTCATCAGCGGCCGCCTAAAGGCCTAAAGGCGCGGGTCAGAGGAGTGGGACATCCCTCTGCAGGTTTTAAATTGGAATTGGAAACGAAGGAGCGTACCAGTAAAAACAAACGGGTGACTACTTTGAGTGTGATTTGTTGTGGCGTCTGAGTGTGTGAACCTCCTCTGTGTTGGACGCTGGAGCTGAAGGAGTCACCGGCCCGGGACGTGAATAGAAAACATTTTTATTGTTGATACACCATTCAAAGAAAACTCTGGAGAAATCATCCACACAGTCAAAACAGTGGCACGAGAATATAAAGACAGAAAAAAGTAAGGCAAGTTTTTTTTTTTTTCTTTCCTTCCGTTTACAAAAAAAGTGATCGTAGATATGTATGACAGACAAATTAAAAAGGCACAAGTTATACAGTATCTCTCTCTATATATATATATATGTATATTTATAAAAAAGGACCATGCAGGCACATCGGGATGGAATGGGGTCTCAGTAGAATCAGTTGGAGTGGTTTGTTGTTGTTACTAAGATCAACAGGGCTTTTAGTGGCACCGGGGCCTGAGAGTCAAAGACAAAATACCCACTTGAGGTAAGTAGCATTTAAGTTGTAGTTTTCAGACAACAACCAAAATGCTTTAGCTATGGCTTCAAAGAGGGTTTTTTCGGATTTAAAGCGAGGTTCCAAAAGAAGTCCCTTTACTAAAACATCCGTCTTTGGTAAAAAAGAAATGAAAGTTAGCCTGCAGAAAAAAAGGATGGGAATCTCACACTGACCCTCATGGTTTTCTCTATCTCTCCACCAGGGGGGGGAAGAGTGGCACAAAACTGGACTTTATCCCCCACGACAGCCACAGATGGACATTTTCAAAAGGAAAACGAGTTGAATCGGACAGCAAAGTAAGAGGAAGACGTCTTCAAAGTCTGCTTGACAGAATTAAAGGTAGCAGTGGGACGACTAAAGAAGCAGGGCTCTAAAACTCCTCGGAGTCCAGCGTTGGCACCTCATCACCAGGGTGATGTCAGACAAAGGAAGGCCAGTTTCTCAGAGCATGAACGACTGCGTGTGTTTGAAGTCCTGCGGCTGGGAGGAGCAGAGCAAGAACAATTAATTTGACTTTTATCTTTCTTCCCTTTTTTTCCCCCCAGAACTCTGGCTCCTCTGTGCGACTAGAGCCATTAGCAGAAAATGAGAGAGAAAGGGACACTCACTTCTTGGGGAGGTGGGACGTAGTTGACATTGGACCTGAAAGACAAAGACACGGTAAGCGCATAAAGCAGCCGCATCCTCAGTCACATCTGGCCGAGCCTCAATTATGAGGCAGGACTGCACCGAACAGGAGAGGGAATCATTTTTACAAAGCTATAATAATATTGTTTAGCTTGTGAGGAAGCCAAAAGAAAAGAAAATGTGAAAGTGGCGACTGAATATTTGGACTGAACCGAGTCAGGAAATAGCCCCCCCGTGGCCCGCATAAGTCTCCTGGATCCAGTTTTCATTGATTATCTCATCTTCCTCTCAGAGCACATTTGGATTGAGTCTGTTTATGTTTTGTTGCTGCTAAAGGAATCTGTGATATTGTGATATATTTACACAACGCCAATATAGAAGAAAGCAGACCTTTATTGTTTCTTTAAAAAAAAAGGCAGAAATCTACATGAATAGATATGAAAGACATTAGGCAACACAGTGAGGCTGTAAAAGGTAAACGGAAAAGATGTCGTGCAGATGAATCGGGAGGGACGTTGAAAAGGCAACGTTTGAGACAGTTTCTGTGTTGGTGCTCAGGCTGCATTTGACTGCAAGTAGGAAGGAGCCGTTTGGCAGTTTTTGTTCTCGTCGGTCTTCCTGAGGGCTGGGGGGGGCATGTGACGTTCAGCGGGGTCCTTTAAAATGGAGCCGGCTTTCTTTTACAGACGTCAAGCGTACGTGTCTGAGTTCTGGGGGGGTGGGGGGTTACCTGCTCTGCCGCCTGGCCCCCGCATGCTCCCTCCTCGCAGCAGGAGGTGACGAGGCGGGCCACTCCCTGAGGTAACAACGCCTCTGTCGTCCCTCCCCCACCTGATGGGAGATGGCAACACAACAAGACTCCAAGTTGTCTTGTGATTAGGGCAGAGAGGTCAATGGTCTGTTAGGAGCTTTGCAGTTCCCCAGTGGCGGTGGTGGGTGGAGGACACAACTGGGCAGTGGTGGTTTTATGAGGATGATCCAGATGTTTAGCGCTCTCCAGATTGAAACCAGTTGGGTGTTCTGGGCTCGTCTTGCTGTTGAACTGCAGCTTTTGCTTGAGGAACTCTTCTGAGGCTTCAGTTTCAGAACCAAAGTTTGCGTGTGGCGGGACAGTTGGTGCGCTCCCCCCCACCTCCCCCACCTCCTCCCAGCAGCATGCTCTGTCTTCATGGAGGGCGTCTGTCTACAGCTCAGTGATATGTTTGCTGGGATCAGGGACAGAAATAGATGATCTGAGAGTTGCACAGACACTTTACCTCTAAGGCAGGTTAAAGGCTTCAGTTCAATATCTTAACACCCCCCCACACACACACACACAAACTCACACATTTTCTACTTGACTCAAATTGTATATAATTAGCTTGGAGACAAAGCATCTCTAAAAATGCGATCATTTTCTGCCTGATTCTGGAGATTGAGTTTGAAATGTGTATTTTTAGGAACAGCGCTTGGAAAACAAAAGCGTGTTTTTAAGAAGTATGGTTTTAAGTTGGCCTAATGTACATATTATAGGAAAAGAGTGAATCTGCCAGTCAGACGTGTGGCTGTAATGTGTCTGTAGAGTTGGTCTGCACAAGTAGAAATGGGTAGAATAATTCAATGAGTGTGTGTGCAGCTGCACGTTTACAGCTCAGTAATTAACACTTTATCTTGTTAGTTTAATCCCAACAAAAAGCTGAGTCGAGTAGCGTTTCTGGCCTCACGGGCGGCTGCGTAGGGACTAGTTCCTGGCTGGGTTCAGCGATTCCCTGAAGTCCACGGCGGTAATCAGATTTAAGCCCTGGGTGTTAATTTGTCCCCGTGTGTCACACTCACGTGTCTTCCGATCTGTTCAGGGTTTGGCTGCTGATGTGGGTTACACCGTGACACTGGGAGATCCAAAAGGACCTGCGGGGGTCAGGGCGGCGGCTTAAACAAGGATGGAGCGTTCTCTTAAGTCACAGCGCTGGCCATGCCGGAGCAGGTGGGTTAACGGTAGGAAAGGTGGGGTCATTCGCAAAGAGCAGCTGACAATCGGCTCGGTACCCGTAGAGTTGGCTCGTTTAGACGTGCGGGAGCGCGTTTGGGTTCACGGCGCGAGAACACAAGCACAGAGAGGCCTTTAAGTGCGTACGGAATAAATCCTCCCGGGGTTAACTAGTCAGCGGAGGTCCTCCATCTGTCGTGGTGGCACCACTCGATTTTAATGCTGCAGATTTAACGAAAGAACACGGCAAACCTATTTGTACCAACGGTCCCCCAACAAGTAGAGGGGATTTACGGATAGAAGATTAGAAGGGTTCTCATTTCAAAAGAGTAGCGCTCGGCCCCTCGCTGCGCGTCAGGCCGAGGACACGGGCCCGAGGGGCCTCTAGAGCCCGTATTTGGAATTATCTCCCGTAAACTTGAGCGTTTTCCAATAGTTTGAGCGGAGAGGGACTCTTAGTCTTTATTTGGTGGGTTTTAACCGGCTACACGGAGCAAAACGCACGCAACTCTGTAGTTATCATTTAATGCCATGTGAGACGTAGAGTATTTGTGAGCACAGACAGAGCAGAAGGTTTTCCGTCTCTGTGGCTGCGATGGAGATCCGAGCGCCCCAGAAACACAGCCGAAGCATTCTCCGCGTGGAGGCTGGGTGATTAAAAAATCATTCAGCCTTCCTCATTTGACATGTCATTAGAAGAGACAGTTTGGCTCTTGTACCCGTCAAATTGTGATGTTTGTATTTCTTTAGTGCAGCAGACACTCCCAAACGGGCTGTAACGTTCCGAGCGCTCTGACTCAACGGCCCGTCTCCAATGGAGTCATTTTAGCGTGGAAATACACAAACTGCTACAGCCAGGGAAGTTGTGCTGAATCTGTGCTCTTTTTTTCACAGACTGATGAGATGTTTCTTTATTGTAGTCGTTTGAGATGTGGAATCTACTTGATGTCGGCAGAGGCCACGGCCCAGCAGAATCACGCCTCTCATCCTCCTGGAGGAAGTCTAAACTCGCGTTCAAGGTGGCATGTGTGTAAGTGTGTTTGTGTGTTTTGTTGGGCGGGTTAGGGAGCAGCACGACGCTGAGGGGGTGGATTTGTCACCGCCCCTGGGACAGATCCAGGGCTATGTGAGTAAATCTCCATGTTCCAGAAGTCTTTAGCATCTTTGTAATTATTGGAAATGTCAGGCAATCGAGGGGCAGATGTAATGGTCACGTCTGTCGCCTTTAATTGGACAAACATTTCGATTGTTTAGTTAGTCACAGTAATTTAGCACCGTTTTACGGTTGTTAATGAGCCGAAAGGCAGACTGGGAGGGAAGTAGCGCCATGTCGTGTTGCTATCGGAGACTTAGCTGCTGTTTGTGGGATTTTGGGAAACTTTAGTTGTTCCTTTGTGCGTGGCTCATCAAGTCCCAACAGAGCAGACTTTAGCATTTATTGTTTTTCATTTGTCAAAAGTGGAAAGTCCACAATCAGTGGTGGACATTGTGATGAAACGATGAAATGTAATGCTTGTGTTTGGTGGGTTTTTGCAGACGCGCTAATTAAGGAACGTTTCAAGGTACCGAGCCGACAGCCGGCCGTCTTTGCGAAGGATCGAGTCCACAGCGATGCGTAAGAGGTGAGTCCGGCCACACGCATGCAGCAATCCAACACCGCAAAGTGTTTGAGTCGTTTAAAAGCGCAACGGGATCCTGCCGGGTTTGGGCCCTCTCCCTCACAGGCACATCTGCCTGCTGGCTCTGCAAATTGGTGCCTGCTATCAGCGCATCAGGAATGGCGTCACATTGTCTTTGTGCAGAAGCCGGGTCTATTAATAGGACGTTGACACTGACAGCTCCAGTTTAGCTGGGGAAGATAAACATCAGACTTGAACCTAGACAGGCAGCTTCAAAGGAGAAGCTCAACGTCGGCTCTCCATCAGACGGGAGCTCTAACGAGCCCGTAATCAAATAAGAGAGCCCAGCCCGTTTGGGCGGTCACGTGAAACCTCAGCGCGCAGCTTCTAGCTGCCTCGTCCTCCTATACGCGTAATCCAAATGACCGGGCCAATGGCTTTAACTGCCGCCAGTGTTGTTTCCTCTTTTCCGATTAGCCAGTAAGGAGTCCACGACCCGCCGCTGACACGGTTTTTGCTTTATTTGGCATGTGCATTTTCACCAGTTGTGACCAAGCAGCTGGTCCACTCCGAGCCTAACACACTCACAGTCAGCGTGCAGTGGCCTGAGTCAGCACAGATGCAGTAGCCCCCCCTCCTCCCAAGTGAATAAGATATTAGTGTTTGTTCACGTCAATGTTAATGCAGTTACAGAGCTCTTACCTCCCTCTGTGTCCTGCTGATAGATGGTGGCAGCCATGGAGGAGAAAACAGAGTCATGTCAGTGTTTAGGAAGAGCACAACAACAGCATCTGACGGAGCGAGCAGACAAGCGGAAGTTACGGGTGAAGAAGCCATTTCGATGGAGGGCCAGTCCCCCGCAGCCGCACACCGCCACGATCAGGAAGAGCACCAGCACGGCCGTCACCACCGCCGTCACGTTGACGTCCTCTGAGGGCCAGAACGACAAGCGTGGAAGAATGTAAGTGTTTCCACAGGCCTTTTCCCAGAGCTCAAAGGTGTTGGGGAGGAGACTCTAGACAAAGGGGAGGGAGGGAGGGAGGGACTGCCTGTTCATTTCACTCTGTGCTCGTGGACCAATAGGCTTGGAGCTGGCCGATTGCTGTCCCACCTGCAGGCCGTTGAGGAAGCGAGGAGGCAGCAGGTGCGGCCGATTGGGACAGGTCAAAAGGAAAAGAGCAACAAGCGGCAGCGCAGCGGCGGTCGGAGCGTGCAGCCGTCGGGCGTGAAGACGCTCGGGGTAAAGACGCGTGTCTGCCAAGCGTGTCCGCCAACGGGGACGCCCGGGCGCCCGGCCCCCTGCTCGGCCGCAGGTAAGTCTGCTACTCTTCAACAGCTCCTGACAGGCTATCCCTGGTCCTCAAAGCTCACTCTGCTCTTGTTCCCTGACAGTGTGTAGCAGTCGGCAGGAGTGCTACCGGTGCTGGGGACAAAGGCCAAAGCCTCCTCTTGCTAATCTCTTTGGATACAAGCGCACAAATGGCCATGCAAACACACCTATGGTCATGTGCTTGCCCTCGCACATCTTGGGGGAGCCCACTCCGTTTGAGGCCAGGCAGCTGTAGCGGCCCGTGTCCTCCTTGCCCACGGCTTTGAACTCCTGCTCAAAGGACAGACTCAGTCAGAGGCCTGTACAGAGGTGGGTGTTGAACGTGTGTGTGTGTGTGTGTGCGAGCGCTCTCACCAGCACTCCAGTGTACTGGTTGATAAGGTAGGTGGCGTTGGTGTGGCGGGGCTGGCTGATCGGCCTGTTGTCCTTGAACCAGGAGTAGGTGGCGGGCGGTATGCTCCGTTGGTCCCTGCAGTGGAGCTGCACCGCCGAGCCCGTCACGGCCGAGGCGGGGACGTCGCAGGCCGGAGTCTGCGGGGGCACTGCGCCGCAGAGGAATGGACGTGAGCAACAGAACCAACGGACAAACCGTCCGCCGCGTGTGGGAGCAGAGTCAGGTACCCAGGACTGTGAGGGTGATGTTGGTCTCGCCCAGGCTGACGGTGTCCAGCGACGCGCTGACCTCACAGCGGTACTCGCCGGCGTCCTCCTGGGTCACCTTGCGCAGGGTGATGGTGGCATCCTGAATGGTGGCTCGGCCCGCAAAGGGACCTGGGGGGGACACTTGCATATTAAAATGTCCAAACGTGCATGGGAGGGGAGTGGATTCGCCCAATTTGATACAAACTCAAGTACAACACTAAATGTTTGCGCTTCATGTCATTTCAGGTTTTGAATAAAATAAAAACACCAGCTCACCTTCCCTAAACACCTTCCAAATTAAAACAACTGATATACAACTGATTAAAGCAAGTTTTTCCTTGCCTGTGTCACCTAGTGCTTGCTCATGGTGCGCATTGTTGGGTTTCTGTAATTAACTTCAGAGTAGGGTCTGACCTGCTCTGTTTGGAAAGCGCTGTGAGACAACTGTTGTTGGGATGTGGCGCTATATAAATAAAATTGAATTGAATATGTACATGTACTTGGCTTACACCAGCTGAAAACCATCCCCCCCGTTTCGACCACCTCCAAACTCCTTTCCTGCTACCACACTTGAAATCGTCTATTTACACAATCGCTTTCTGTGTTTGCTGAAATTTCCTTAAACGTGCTGCTGGACACCCTTTAAAACCAGCTTCTGAAACTCTATCAGGCTTTCCAGCTTTAATGAGTCAATTAATCACTGAGCTCATTTTGCACTCTTTACTAGCCTTCAAAGTTTGGACTAAAGCATCTACCACACTCTTTCAAACACAGTAGTGGGAGCATCATTAACGGGGGGGGGGATTCGAAAACTGATGTGTTGGGAAACTATTTCCTGACCTGGTAAAAGCTTTTGTACAACTCCTTACTTATTCATCGTCATAACTCCCACCGAGCCACGGACGTGAAAAACTGAGCACAACAGACAGGTGAAGCTTTAATGAATCGCACGCATACACACACACACAGCTAAAATGGCTCAGCCTCTCTCCCTCCTCCCTCCACAAACCGTTGCGCTGCCTTAAAACGGGGAAGGATAGCGACAGGCGACTTTCTCACCTCTGAAGTGTCCGTTGAAATACACAAAGGAGACATCCTTCCCCTTCTTCTTCCACTCGATGCGTGGGTTCTGGTCCCTCTCTGTGAAGAAAATGCACGACAGCTCGGCATCTGAAAGAGGGAACCGCACATCCAAAGGGTTTATTGAAGGCTCGGGAGGGGGAGGGGGGGGCACCCCTGAAGGGGACGAGTGTCTGCCGGCTCCAGCTCACCTGAAGACTCCTCCACCTCCACCTTGGCTCTGTTGGTTGACACGGTGACGGGAACGGAGGGGGGACCTGGGGAGAGTTGAGGGAAATGGGGACGTGAGCAGCTCAGAGTGTAGGAAGAGTGGCCCCTCTGTGAGGAGACGAGGGGATAAAGCGCTTCACGTGTCCACGGCCACGGGAGGACCATGCCCCTTGGACTGGCGCTCAGATCTCTGAGGCCCAGAGTCAAGGCGGGATTACTCTCTCTGGGCCTAATCCCACCGAGGTCAAGGAGCGGCCGGCCGTATGTTTATTTAAACCTAGGCTGGGCCACAGCGGCCAATCCTGTCCCGGGTGGCCGCTCCGGATTAACCCCGCGTAACGCGGGACCTTTCCTCGGCCATCTGCGCGCGTCGCCAAACCGGGTCCCGGCAAACCGGAAGAGGCCGCGGCCGGCCGGCCAGTCGGTCTCCCACCCTCTGGCCCGCGGGGCGGATGACGCTCTGCCTCCGGCAGGATAAACGACCGGGAACTTCACCGGGGAGAGGAAGAGGGTCTGATGGCGAGGGACAAAGAGAGGGGGAGGGCATTCGCCCTGAAAACGATGCATTTTTTAAACGGCCTGATAAATGTTGAATGGGCCCTGTGGGAGTCTTCTCTGAACATCGCAGCCCTCCTAACATTTGCACTTTCTTCTCGTGCAGAAAAACGTCCCCGCAAATAACGCCACGCCGCTCCAAACTTAGAGTGCTCCCATTTCCCCTTCCTGCCTTCCCCTGTTTGGGCCATTGTTTCTCGATTACAATGAGTCACGAGGGGGGGGGCACAGGAAGAGGTGATGCCGAAGAAAGCTGAGACAAAGAGCAGGAAGCGGTGAATCAAACAGCTGGACGCCACACATCGGTCCACCGGCCAAAGGTCGGCCACGCTGACCTTCAAGGACAAATCTAAAAAAGGGGCTTTTACATAAACGTCAGCCTTTGTGCAAACCACCAGGCCCCCGCCCAGCGGGCCGGGTACGGGGCGGGTAATGGCCGGGTAAGGGCCGGGTACGGGGCGGGTAATGGCCGGGTAAGGGCCGGGTACGGGATGGGTACGGGCCGGGTACGGGATGGGTACGGTACGGGATGAGTACAGAATGGGTACGGGATGCGTACGGGCCAAGTACGGGATGGGTACGGGATGGGTAAGGGCCGGGTACGGGATGAGTACGGGATGGGTACGGGATGAGTACGGGATGGGTACGGGCCGTCCTGGAGCTGGAGTTGGAGAAGAGTCGGCCGCGTGCCCTCTAACAGGATTACGGGAGCCGTGTCCCGACACCCTCAGAGAATCAGATTAGAAAAGGAGCAGGGACGAGCCACCGAGGAGAGACACGCCGCCCCAAGAATAGAACACAGACGCAGCCAAGGCGAGAGCGGGGCCTGGAGGGGGGGGGGGGGGGGGGCACAGACCTTCAGGAGCATGAATAAAAGAGAGAGTGGGATTGAAGGCCAGGGAGATCCTCCCCGACAGCGGGCCGGGCGGGGGCCGCACACGGGAAGCACAGCGGGGCGACAACACGCCTTCACAAGCTCTCACACACACGCACGCACGCACGCACACACACACAAACCACACACACCACAAAGCAGCCCCTCCACTCCGCCAACACCGTCAGATCACATGACCTCAATTAACTCCAAAGGCGCGGGGGCAGACGACCAGCACATGGCGCCGATGGAGAGCACGACGCACCGCGGCTCACCCCACTTCACAGAGTGCTTTTCACTGCCTTCAGCCCCCTCCTCCTTCATCCACCTCCTCAAACGACACGTCTCTGGTGCCTCGCCTTCGGTTGCTAACGTGCACGAAGGCCGGCGTGTCCACCAAGGCCTCCCCAAACACAAACTGCAAATCTATGAAGCGCAGCCGCCGGTGCCTCCGGAAACCACCGCCAAAAGCCATCAGCGTCTCTCCCACCTCACAGCTCACAGGCGCGCGCACACACACACACAGCTTCTGCAGACTACCGTGCCGGCCGCCTCCTCACAGTGGGGTCTGGGCGGTCAGAGCCGCTCGGCCACTCTTTTTCTTTCTAAACATCACGTAAACAGGCTCAGTCAATCCAAACAGAAGATGGGGGGGCTGGCCACTCCGACTCAGACCTGGGGAGCTTATCGTGCAGCGCCGAGCCGCACAGGAAGGGAATCATCAGGCAGGATGTCAACAATCAAGCACAAAAGACATTCAAAACATTGTGGACAGTTACCAGAAAAAGCACTAAGCGCTCAGTCCCCCTCCCACACACACACACACACATACACAACCACACACACACACACTGGGCAGCTGGAGGAGCCCAGTGGCCTTCACTGGAAACACACACAGACACCTTCCAGTCCAGGACTTCGGGGTGGACCGGGAAGCCTCCTCTGGTCCTGCCTGGAACTCCAGCCTGCGTCCACATGGCCGACTGACCCTCTGACCCGTCTGAGACTGGGGAGGCATATGCTGACCCCCGAGGTCAGACTGGCCTTTACCTGTGTACGCACCGGACTGGGTTACAGAGTCTGGGCCCTCTGCCAGGGTCGGGGAGTGTCCCGCCTCCAACAGCCAGCCCCGGCCCCCCCGCAGAGGGACGGCCGGCGTCCCGCCCGCCGGCGTCCCCCCGGCGTCCCCCCGGCGTCCTGGCACGCGGCTGGGCTCTCATTACGGGCTGCGAGCAGAGTGTTCCAGGGACGGCGGGCGGGGCGTTGGCAGGACTGGGCCGAGGTCAAAAGCACGGTGCAGTTCTAATTAAGGCACTTATTCGAATTAACCGGGAACAAATGAAAGGGGGAGGGAGATGGACCCGGAGGAAACGTCCTGTCTGGCTGCGGGAGATAGATAAGGTGGATGGCACACGTTTCAAGGGCTGCGGGGGTACAGAGAAAAACAGGATGCTGACTGGGGGTGTGTGTGTGTGTGTGTGTGTGTGTGAGAGTTCTCCTTCTGAACAAAGCCTGTCTGTATGACTGCAACACAGTGAGCAACAGCTGTCTCAGCCACGTACGCTGACTGTGTGTGTGTGTGTGTGTGTGTGTGTGTGTGTGTGTGTGTGTGTCTGGGCTGGACGCTGATGAGGGGCCGTTGGGTCTCCGGCCACAGAGACACACCCAAAACGTTTCCCCACTACCCGCTACGCTCCACGGGCAGCAGTGGCACCGCCGCTGCTCTGCTGGACGGCTGACCACGTGGGCCGGGCCGCTGGCCGCTGGGGGCGCGGGCGCCTGTGAACCCGTGACCCCCCCGGCCTGACAGGTGGCAAAATGTGGACAACGCTGAGCCAAATGTGCGTCACTCACTCCGGCTGTCTCCTCACATCCCCGTCAGGCCGGCGCTCCCCGGGCTCCACAGCCTCCCCCGCCCCCCCCCCCCCCCCCCACCCGCTTCCCCTCCCCCCCCCCCCCCCATGAGCGTCACGCAGGAGGCCATGCAGGATAATCGGGATGGGGTGGGGGGGGGGG